AGATGGCAGGATGAGGACAGTGAGCAGGAAGATGGCAGGATGAGGACAGTGTGCAGGCAGCAGGGAGATGGCAGGATGAGGACAGTGAGCAGGCAGCAGGAAGATGGCAGGATGAGAGCAGGCAGCAGGAAGATGGCAGGATGAGGGCAGTGAGCAGGCAGCAGGAAGATGGCAGGATGAGAGCAGGCAGCAGGAAGATGGCAGGATGAGAGCAGGCAGCAGGAAGATGGCAGGATGAGAGCAGGCAGCAGGAAGATGGCAGGATGAGGGCAGGCAGCAGGAAGATGGCAGGATGAGGACAGTGTGCAGGCAGCAGGAAGATCGCAGGAGGAGGACAGTGTGCAGGCAGCAGGAAGATGGCAGGATGAGGGCAGGCAGCAGGAAGATGGCAGGATGAGGACAGTGTGCAGGACAGTCAGCAGGCAGCAGGGAGATGGCAGGATGAGGGCAGCGCGCAGGACCAAGAGGTGAGTTAGAAATTAGGCTGTACTTTAACATCTACTGTATCATCAAGACAGATATTAGCCTAATAGACAAATATTTATTTCTGAAGGCTGTTGGAGCTGGGGGGACTGAGAGGGCAGGAATAACACCAGACTGCTGGACCAGACCAGGCTGTTTGTAAATGTATAGGCTTATTACTTTTACTAGTATACTTCTCCTAGGATAATTCCTGGGAGTTATCAAAACCAAGTTCTTTTGGATAGGAATAAGGATAATGAGATCTTCTGTATTGATTCTCATTGTGTCGCATGTCCAGACCATGACCGTGTGTTGCATACATGTTAGTAAACATCCCTAGCGCATCTTGCACTCTTAACATTGATCCTGGTGGCGACTATTCGTATTGACGCGGTAGCGGACCGTAATGGTCATAGAAGTGTTATGAAGGCAGTACCCCCCAATTATGGAGGGGTAATTCGCACTCTGTTGGTAACTGAGAGTCCCAAAAGATGATAAAAATTACGTCTCAGCATTCCAATTAATTCCAAAATAATTAAAATAAAGGCATACCCATACTATAAAGGTCAAACATGAAGTGCAATGAAAAAAAAAATCCGTTAAAATATGAACAGGAAGATATTTTTGTATTTTGTTTAGTCATAGTCTACTTTGAAAGTGTATTAATAAAAAGCAAAGGCAAGACACGGTTATTTGTGCAGAAAATTTCACACGGATGCGACTGAAAGTATTTTACGGAGATCAAATAATACAGAATAGCATTATTATACAGTAAAAATGACGCGTGAAGTTAACCCATCAGATTACCCGTTGGCTATGGGGATCAAACCAGGAACTTTCGCGGTGTAAGGCGACAGAATAAAGCACTGTACCACCATATTAGGCACTTGTAACATTTATGTAACTTACGTAGTCTATCTGCAATTCGTGGCCAAGCCAACTCCCTGGCTGTATTTATGGCCGCAGTATTTCCTTTTTTTTAGCGATTATATCTTTGTATTCTTCATACAGCTCCATCAGCAGCGTTTATTCTGCAGCGGGGGGGGAACCACCGCTCACGTTTTACATGCTTTCCGACTCATTTGATCGATCTACCGTTCATCCATTCGTTTGGCTTCTTAAATATCGCGGGTGTGCGCACTAAGTGAGACTATGCAAGTCTGTCTTGTATGAGCCTTGATTAGTTAAAGCTGAACCGCGTTTAGTTTAGAGATGGCGCTAGTTTGAGTCTGACTTTTTTTTGGGAAAGTTTGGCTTTCTTTAGCTACTTTTAGGGAATACCCCCAGGTGTTTCATTCAGACCCATTGCTACAAGTGTGTAAAATCAAGCATCTAGACATGCAGTCAGGTTTACAAACATTTGTAAAAGAGCTCAGTGAATTCAGGTGTGGTACTGTCATAGGATGCTGCCTTTGCAATAAGTCAATTTGTGAAATTTCTTTCCTTCTGGATATTCCACAGTGACTGTAACTGGTATCATTGCAAAATGGAAGCATTCAGAAACAACAGACACTCCGCCAGGCAGTGACAGACAGAACAGGGTGCTGGGGCACATAATATGTAAAAGTCACCGATGTGGACTCAATAAGAAACTCCGTCTGGCATTACCCCAGCACAAAAACTAGAGAACTCTTAATGCTTCAG